TTCGGTGTGATGGGGATTCGAACCCGAAACCTGCATACTAATAGTCGAGCGTCCTAACCATCAGGCCATGCCAAGCCCGCTAGTTTAAGCCCATTAAATCAAATGGTCATCTATATTTATTACATTAATTTTACAAAACAAAGCTATTTACATTTCATGAATATTTATTATTATTCTATCGATATTTATTCAAAGGAATATTACAAAGTTAAGCCACTTCAAATAAGTCTAATACTGCAATCAACTAGTCAAAACTAATCTAAAACTACCATACTGAACTGCTTAAAGCATTATTCGTGAAAACTTTCCAGATTGATTAGAACAGTGTTTCTCAGCCACCAGGCCCTGTGTGGCCAGGTGGTTAGAGAGCTCGACTCGCAATCTGAGAATCGCAGATTCGAATCCTCGTCCCACCAAACATGCTCACCCTTTCAGCCGTGGGGGTGCTATAATGTGACGATTCATCCCACTATTTGTTGATAAAAGAATAGCTCAAGAGTTGGCAGTGAGTGGTGATGACTAGCTGCCTTCCCTCCAATCTTTCACTATTAAATTAGAGACGGCTAGCGCAGATAGCCCTTGTGTAGCTTTGTGCGAAATTCAAAACAAATAAATTCGGCCCCCAGACTACAAACCGAACCCAATACGTCAAAACCACTTTGTTGATCTGTGAGGTTTTACGAAAACAAACAAACAATAACAAAATAGCAGAATATCCATCCGAAAATCGTAATGATTTTTCGTTATACTTGCATTTTGCTACTTATTTTGAGTGGAGACAATTTATGGAGGCAGGGAGTCGGTCTCTGGTATTGAAAAAGTTGAGAAACGTTGGATTAGAAGACGAGCTGAATTTTCAATAAAACTAGAAATTCAGATTATTCTATAATATATTGAATAACGCATATTTAATGCTTAAGCTCGAGTATTGAAAGAGGTGGGATACACTGGCAAAATAACATGTAATCATGTGTATTTATTTTTGGCTTGTCTAACATGCTAAAAGTGCCATTGAAAAGTTCAACTAATAGATAGAACTCCCTATTTTTTATCACAGTTTTCAATTTTCCTTATAAGTTTGGATAATGTACTTACATAGTCAACTAGACACTGTGATAGTTTGGGGTAAAAGAAAATATTTCATTGTTTCGGAATTCCTGCACTTTACGCTATAACTAATGTTTACAATAAAGTTTCCAGAGGAAATACTGAAGCTTATTAAAGTGTAATATTTTTCTGGACTGAAAGTTTGTTTACTTGTTTAAATCTTGTATCTGTACGCCTGTTTCTCCGAGACGAAAATTTTCCAACTTCTCGATTTCTGATACTATGAAACTTTCAGGAGTTCTTTACTCTAAACCAAAACGATTGTAAAACATATTATTTTATTAACATTCTCATTTTTACAAGTTTAATAACCATTTCAATTGTTGCTCTTGCTACTACTGTCCAAGTGCCGACAATTTACGCACACGCAAGCTGTCCTGCCAACCACGTGGAACTAACGGAAAAAAATGCATCTCCTGGCGCAGGAACCTTCGCTAGGTATTCATAAAGTATAAATCATATAGCAAAATTAAGAATGTTTGATATGTCATTAAATGATTTCCGGGTAAGCTTCACCAACTTCCTTTAAACTTTTTAGCACAAAAATAAGCGAAAATTTTCGATTTTATAGCAACAGAGCGCTTGTTACAACAACTCTTGAAGGATTAAATGACTCAATGTAAACAGTTGTGCACTGGAGAAACAGTGCATGCGGTTACAAGTGTGTGTGTATCAGAGAGATATTCAAAGCACGATCCGATTTTATGGACGTATCACATGACACATATTACACGCCAAATCTACGAGTAGGTATTCTCAATATACTTCATTATTTAAAGCGTGCGAAAAAACTTATTTGTGTATACGTCGTGGTAAGCCAAACACGAAGTCCATATCCTTAAAGTGTTTCTACAAATTTCTTCGTGACTGGAAACTTGTTAATTTGTTCATGTTTAGGATATTTATAACTTCACTACTTTTTCATGAGAACTTAGTTCATTTTGTGTTGCTGCCTGGTGATCTAAGCAATAATGAACTTTCTATCCGTTTCCACTTGATCAATAAACATAACATTACTAAACATGATTAGTTATACCAAATATTAAATTGAAATAGTGCGTCTTCAATAGACATAAGATTACTAAACATGATTAGTTATACCAAATATTAAATTGAAATAGTGCGTCTTCATTAGACATAACATTACTAAACATGATTAGTTATACCAAATATTAAACTGAAATAGTGCGTCTTCAATAGACATAACATTACTAAACATGATTAGTTATACCAAATATTGAAATAGTGCTCGTTTAACTGAAATTACGAAATGCAAAACTATCGAGCTGTAAGTGAACTTTTATCATTTTAAGTATTTAGTGTATTGAGCAGTGTATCATTTTAAGTATTTAGTGTATTGAGCAGTGTATCATTTTAAGTAGTTAGTGTATTGAGCAGTGTATCATTTTAAGTATTTAGAGTATTGAGCAGTGTATCATTTTAAGTATTTAGTGTATTGAGCAGTGTATCATTTTAAGTAGTTAGTGTATTGAGCAGTGTATCATTTTAAGTATTTAGTGTATTGAGCAGTGTATCATTTTAAGTATTTATTGTATTGAGCAGTGTATCATTTTAAATATTTAGTGTATTGAAATGGTGAATTTTATCTGTTTATATGTTTAGTCTATTTGTCTAGTGATATGTTTGCATTCTTTTAATCCACCGAAGTGCTTATCTTTGTTTTTCTATACTCGTTATGCTATTTAAACTTGTTAATCATGTGTCGTTTCCATCAGTAACATGCTTTGACTTCAACTTCTCGAGCCGCTGGAGAAGGCTCAGGTGACATTTCTCTATGTATATCTGTAGAAATAAAAAATTCCAAGTGATTTATTTAGTAAAAAATACATTTATGATTAGATAAACTTTCAATCGACATTTCAGTATGACTTAGATAAAGACAGGCGATATTGTGTCCAAATTTCTATTGTTATAACAACTCAGTACAGCCTTATCTGTCATAACAACTCAGTACAGCTTTATCTTTCATAACAAATCAGTACAGCTTTATCTGTCATAACAACTCAGTACAGCCTTATCTATCATAACAACACAGTACAGCCTTATCTGTAATAACAACTCAGTACAGCCTTATCTGTCATAACAACTCAGTATAGCCTTATCTGTAATAACAATTCAGTACAGTCTTATCTGTCATAACAACTCAGTGTAGCCTTATCTCTAATAACAACTCAGTACAGCCTTATCTGTCATAACAACTCAGTACAGCTTTATCTTTCATAACAAATCAGTACAGCTTTATCTGTCATAACAACTCAGTACAGCCTTATCTGTCATAACAACTCAGTACAGCCTTATCTGTAATAACAACTCAGTACAGCCTTATCTGTCATAACAACTCAGTGCAGCTTTATCTGTCATAACAACTCAGTACAGCTTTATCTGTCATAACAACTCAGTATAGCCTTATCTGTAATAACAACTCAGTACAGCCTTATCTGTCATAACAACTCAGTGTAGCCTTATCTCTAATAACAACTCATTACAGCCTTATCTGTCATAACAACTCAGTACAGCTTTATCTTTCATAACAATTCAGTACAGCTTTATCTGTCATAACAACTCAGTACAGCTTTATCTGTCATAACAACTCAGTACAGCTTTATCTGTCATAACAACTCAGTATAGCTTTATCTGTCATAACAACTCAGTATAGCCTTATCTGTCATAACAACTCAGTACAGCCTTATCTGTCATAACAACTCAGTATAGCCTTATCTGTAATAACATCTCAGTATAGTCTTATCTGTATTGAACGTTCGTTCTTTCTCGTCATAACAACTCGGTACAGTCTTATCTGTACTGAACGTTCAACAACTCAGTACAGCCTTATCTGTCATAACAACTCAGTACAGCCTTATCTGTCATAACAACTCAGTATAGCCTTATCTGTAATAACATCTCAGTATAGTCTTATCTGTATTGAACGTTCGTTCTTTCTCGTCATAACAACTCGGTACAGTCTTATCTGTACTGAACGTTCAACAACTCAGTACAGCCTTATCTGTATTGAACGTTCGTTCTTTCTCGTCATAACAACTCGGTACAGTCTTATCTGTATTGAAGGTTCAACAACTCAGTAAAGTCTTATCTGTATTGAACGTTCAACAACTCAGTACAGTCTTGTCTGTATTGAACGTTCAACAACTCAGTACAGTCTTGCCTGTATTGAACGTTCAACAACTCAGTACAGTCTTGCCTGTATTGAACGTTCAACAACTCAGTACAGTCTTGTCTATATTGAAAGTTCAACAACTCAGTACAGTCTTGCCTGTATTGAACGTTCAACAACTCAGTACAGTCTTGTCTGTATTGAACGTTCGTTCTTATTTTCAAATGAACTCTTACCTAATCTACCGAAAGTTATATTGCCTATAATAATTTTTTCGATCCAGGAATCACGAAAAATTGCTGCTTCTTTATTTGTATTATAAAATTTGTGCCTCGCGCACTTCAATCCCTCCACTATAAAGTGATGATAAATTTTCGGTCGGATATAAAATTTGAATCACATGCAAGAACTTCGAGCATATGATTTTTAAGTGGTTATGTATTGCATTGTATGTTTTGTATTGGTTATTAGCTTGATTGAACACAGTATATAGTCATGATTAAAGTGGATCTATGTATACACACTTTTCTATCTTGTTATTTAGGCTTAGTAATCTAATCACAACTTAATGTTTGCTTACAGAAAATGTTGTTATAATTTAACACTTCAAGTGTTCTAAATAAAAATATTATTCAGACTATTCTTAAAGGGCTATTATTAACAATTACTTTTATTTCAAATATGCTATAGAATTGGAATAACAAAACATATCATTTTTTTCTACTGACAATTTTATTATTATGTTTTTCTTTGTGCCTAGGATTTCCCTTGCCAGTTAGGGCAAGCTACCCTGCTGTACTGCCAGGTCAACTTAGGTAAGAAATATTCTCATTGTATTTATCATGTTACTCAACTGTAATATGTTACGTATTACAATTCATCCCGGACGAGCTTCCATTTTATTACGTAACGTATTATAATTTCGAATAGCCTGAAACTGAGTTAAATGATAATTGAGATTTAGAAATTAAATAAATGTCGATATATATTCAATTCATGACACTTGCCAACAAGATTGATACACACAGTTTTATTTTAATACAAATATATTTTAATATACAAACAAGAACACAATTCACAATAACGATTATTACAAATAAGGATCTATGTACAAAAGTTTTACAAACTAGCTCTGTGTTCTTCGATCTTTGTCGGCCATACACCGATTTGTCCACTGATGGAGTAGTATAAATTGTTCTTAAAAATACTAATGTCCGATGTGAATCCGTTGAAGTTAAATGATTTGTAATATTAGAAATCTGTCAACGTTCCTGTTCAAATATCTGAAGTTCACGATCAATAAGCGTTAATCACACTTATAACTTCTGTTGTAGCACAACAATAATATATACCGTCTTTTGGTGCGTCGTGTTGGTTATATTTATAGGCGTGAGGAGAGTTTCTCGAAACTTCAGCTTACGCAACAATATCAACGATACACCAGTGTTTGCGTACACACATATATTGTTGATTCTTACGCTCGAGAATCTTCTACACTTTAATGAATAGGCGATAATTTCACAATTCAGATTTAACAGTACAAGTTATGTACATTGCTAAATATAAATCTAACTTCAACAAACATCGATATTAAAATAGATGTATAATAGTAAATCCGTCACAAATACCATAATATTTATCATGCAACACAAATATAACGATAAGGTATTTACCACATTATCCAACTGTATTTCCAGATAAGCTGATAGATAAGGAAGGCGATTTTAGAAATTAGTATTATTATTCTTCTGTACCACCAGCTCGATTGTTCTCGTTGTTACATCTGTATTGGTACATATATCTCGTGTAGGTAACTGATCTTGATGTTTACCTTTTTATGGCTATATCAATTTTAATTCTATTGAACTACTACATAAAGGTACAGAGGAATAAATGCTCTTTATAAGAACAATTTTCACATGGTAATGCAGTGGCGTATCACCAGGGATCTCAGTCGCGTCACCATGGGCGAAATGTCATGCATCTTTATTCGGTTCACATCGATTTCTCTTTTTGTTCTGCCGTTACTTCCCTTTCCAACGTACAGCCACAAGACACAACATCTCGAGGAAAGGCGCCTTAAACGTTCTCCGTAGACGTGGAAATATTATACAGCAGACCGTTTAGACCAGTAGCAGGCTCCGAAGCCAAACCCTCATTCACAAAATAAAGGCTTTAGTTACGAAAAGAATCCTCTGGCTGTAAAGTCACTATGATGAAGCTAGGCATGCCTTTTGGTGCCGTTAACAAGATAATAAACAAGTGTTTGAAGCTGAAGGAGGTCCACAAGCTTCCAAGACACATCTAGAAATCAATGATTTGAAACTGAAGGAGGACCACAAGCTTCCAGACACATCTAGAAATCAATAGCTGTTTCAATGAAGAGAATGGCTGAAGAACAGAAATCGCAGTTTCCCCTGTCTAACCTCCTGATGCACCTGCAATGGAATTTTATGCATTTAATATGTGGAAGATGAAGTTCACATGCACTGAAGGTTCTATAGAAAAACTACCAAGATATATGGTCTAAGATCGACCTCACCGTCCTTATTACAAAATAAGTTGCGGTATGGATAGAAGTACGTAATCTCAGCCATCTGACTGAGCTTGGTGGATAAAGAATGAAGTAGTTTCACGGGCAGTACGGGAACTGGGGCATCTCTTATACAGTACAATTAACACTCAGTAAATTGTAAATATAATTATGTTAGTATCTACTACACTTTTCTATACCGTACTACTAAGTACGTTTTCAGGTATCTATGCTGTACTACTAAGTAGTTTACCAGGTAAGTTTGTGAGTACTGTAAGTGATCATGATACAAACATTTAGACCGTACTTTAATACTAAGTACGTTTTCAGGTATAGTGAGTGATCTCAAGGTTTACGTTATAATCTAATTTACTACCAGAAAAAGTTATTCTTAGTTATTCTTACATTCATTAAGGTCCAATATTAATTTGGAGACGAATTAAGACACTCTCTAAACAGTAAAATTCCGATAAAATATGGAGAGCATCAAATAAGTCATCATAATCACTAAACATCTACGCCTTGTGATCTAACAGACTATAATCGAAACATTTAGGTTAACAGTGTTTCATGACTTGAGATTACTGGCAAATAAAGCAGTAAATAACTTAATTCCCATTTATTGCAGATGATTATGTATCTATATACATAAAATATACTATGCTATAAATATCTGAGTGATATTTGATTAAGTTATTTTATGATGGAAATAAGACCTAGGGTGGAATACCAGCGCCTTATAGCATATCTCAACTGATATATTATTTATACGAAATCGGCAATGTTTCGTTCGTTTAACTATTCAAGATATTTGTACATAAAAGGTCATATTATTCCGCATTTTCAGCATTTATACATATAAAGAGTGTTGTAGATTTCGTACAAAGAGTATACAAATATATTTCACCCCAAAACTGAATAGGTTTTATTGACTACAGCTACCAGAAGAATAATGCACGTGAAAGAGCATTGGATAAGTACTGTTTCGGGAATCAATACTTGTGTTCCCGATGTAGTAGATCTGTTCTTATGTTCTTAATTCATTTTAGCAGGCTTTCTCTGAGCTTGTCATCTAACCAAAGTCCACATTCCCACTAGTTAATAAGTTATAGGGTATAACTACACAATAACGAAAAAATTATTTTACGCAAATTAAAGAGGAGTTACATGGTATTGCAACTCTTGGGTCTGCGTTGTTAGGTGCATAGTTGCATTACCTAACGAAAACTTTATGAAAGGAGAACAAGGGGTGTGGTAGGCCACGAAACAATACTCATTAAGTACTGAGTTCTACTCGAACAGAATGTGGAGAGTGTGTAACTAATGTCTGATCGTTCACGAAACTGCGTCCAGTTAGTATAATAAGTCATTTCTATTTAAGATAGATAACTAGGTCAGAAAAATAGCTGCTGTTTTGAAAACAATTAACATAAAGAAATTTTAAGAAGCTGGAATAGAAACATAAGAAAAAAATAACAAGCATAAGCGTTACTAATACAATGTTAATTATTTACCGCCACTATGAACAAAACATAACGTAGAATACTTGAATAAAAGCAACATGTATAATTACAAAACAGAATGATATTACCACGCTTTTTGAAGTATCACAACCAGAACAAATATTTAATATTATAAATAATCTTTCGGCTAGGTAACAAATGTCATAAAAGATACCCAAGATATACAATCCATAAAGAAGACATCCACCAATATACACTCATATATATATATATATATTTGCTAGTCTTTACTTATCAAAGAGATATCGTAACTAGTATTTTGAGAAGACTTATCGAATAGGAAGTTCCAGAAGACGTCATAGTCCTCATAAAGAAGTGAAAGAAAAAAATCACACACTTAAAACAAATTTTCCCTTGAATAACTCCATATGTAGGAAATGTGTTTTTTTTATTCTGTTATTCGATTATTCTATATTATTAAAAATATTCCACGTACTGGTATTCAGTCTGCAATACACACAGTATGAACCTTAATGTTACATGAACAGCCATTTCATGGAACTACTTCTTGTAAAACACTTAATATACAAAAATTTGGACCAGACTCTTGAACAGAATATCCACCCATGAATGAAACAGATAAAAGAAAGTTAAGGAAAATAGTGAATTTTAATTCTATAAACACAATATTGATGAATAGTACAGGTGGGAGAAATAATAGTTAGTGTAAGAGCCACTCAGTTAATAATTCAATCCTCTCTAACCAGTTGGAAAATTAACAAAATATGTTGAAAAGTTGGGATCACTCTCTTTCAGTTTACAAAAGTTACCTTTCTTCAAAGATAAGAATAGACTTTCACTGGACAAAATACATTGATTAGCAGCCGAGAAAGTTTCCTCTTAACATGAAAACATGAGGAGATCTTACAAAGAAGCGTTTCTCAAAAGGAGGGTTAAAGGATATTGTCTCGTTAAATATCAGAAACAATTTTTGAAAAGTAACAAGAATCAAAACCCTTGCATTCTATAAGTCAGTCTTTTGGTAATGATAAGCATCTAATCAAGAGGAAAAACTGTGTCAATTATATAGAATTTTATCAGCAAGAAGAATAAAAGTTTAAGTACAAGAAAAGCGGAGTGTGCCTTGGTTAGTACTGTTTGATGCTATAAATTACCCAGTAAGTTTATTTATTTTGGGTCTCAAAATTGAGTCGTTACGAGTATTGATTACGAATGTTAGAAATACACCTTTGAAACAGTCACGCCATTTACCGTCATTAACTTTATGACCATGGCTGTTTCAAAGGTATGCTTTTAACATTCGTAATCAATACTTGTAACGATTTTGTATTCAAAACCTGCTACGATTTTCAAAGAGATTCCTTACCCCACTTCTCCCAATTAAAACCAATGTATAGATTTTACGAAGCCATAGTGAAGACATGGTTAAGAATTTAAGCCATTGTTTTAACATGTTAAACACGACTTATTGGTAAGTAGAGCATCCTGTACATTACGTTGTAAAATGGACACATATATTCAGAGCAGAATAAAACATTTCAGCAATTCAAATCAATGCTTTTGAAATTTGTGATACTATTTCTTAAATAAATATTCAGAACGGTAATCATCGAGCTTCATAAGGTTTAGTATTTGAACTACATTCAGGTATGGCCTTCACTGTTGTAATTGTCATGGCAAGGGTGCACAGCTACCATGTATCCCAACCACATTCCTTTCACTACTATCTGGCTATAATGTAAACAAATCCCGGGTCCAGTAGGAAAGATATGAGGGAAGAGACTGTAGACTCTGGTTC